ATTGTTTTATGTAAGGTCTCGTCTCATTTCTTAATATTGACAAGATCGATCAGATAATGAGTCTATTTTGGCCGTTTTAAGTTAAATATAATACTCTAATTTTTGTTTGTTTAATGATGATTCCTGAAATACTTATGTTTAATGAATATCTGAACTCTAAAATGGTGTTATTTGAAACATTTATAATAAATTATTTTCCATTCCAAAGGATTGTAAAGCGGTACTTTCATACATACTCCTGTCATTTGACATTTGTTTTTCGAAACGTTGTTAACTGAAAAGTAGTTGACAACACAGTAACAATTTCATGACTTCAATAAGTCTGTACTATTTGCATTATTGTCTCGGTCTTTAGTAATCCAACTGCTTTCCAGTTAATTTTCCATGCTTTGATGTTTAAAATTAAGAAAAAAAGTGTCGACGCTCAGGGGACGAAGTCATATATTTCGCTAAGGATGAGTCGACAAGGTACGTTCTTCTGACAATGATTAGAAAACATACTCTTGTTTGTTACCTTTGTTCAAATTCTTCAAACATATGGTGTAGTTATATCGTAATGAAGAAAATACATTTTAATTGTGATGGCGGTGAATGTCAGTAATACACGAGGGTGTATTTAATATCTGTTTTATACAGCAAATAAAGCAATTAATTGATTAACTTTATGTTATTTACAAAGTATCTATTTAGGTGTATTTGACATTTTGATAATAAAATAATAATGAAACAAACATCAAAACTGATACTTGAAACACAAAACTTAAACGGAAATATAGTTTATATAATTGAATATCAAATTGTAATTGCATATCAAATTGATTTTATTTTCAAAATCATAACGGTAATATCTGCTTAAATTAATTAAGTCGTTAAAATGTACTATTTTTCTTTTACGATTTTTATCTAATGACAAAAAGCTATAAAGACTTCGTTAACAAAGTACATTTGTACGCCTGTGCATTGGGAATTGTTGTAAACAGTACCGTAAACGATCATTAATTTGGGAGTCTAAATTTGGGTCTAGATTTCTGTGTTCTTTAATTTTTCAGGCCATTTTTCTCTATTCATTATTTGTTTTTTTGCCAAGTATTTTCCCTTTTTTTATATATATTTCAGAACCCTTTTATTCTCTTTTCTTTTTTTGTTTGGTCTATTTTTTCTATTCTCTATTTTTTTTCATTATTCTCCATTCAGTAAACCCCATCCAGACCCTCACCTTTAACCCACCGAAATATATTCGTGCATACAGTATGATAGATTTGTACATAATACTTTAAACTCCCTCAGGCAAATTTGATCTTAAATGGATTTGGTTATTATGTTTAGGTCCTTTCTGGTCATATAGCTCTTCAACTGTTTCAGTTCTTATACATTCTTGGCGTTCAAATATTCGGCATTGAGCGTTCCTGATGAAGGTATATCCAGAAAAACGCTTCAGAGGCATGAAATTTATAAAGTGTTGTTTTCATTTTTTATGATAAAACGCAGCAATACGCAGAAAACAACGATATTATGAAAAGTGCTTTTAAGACATTACACGCTACAGAGATACATTTACGTTTTTGATGAACAAAATCTATACCGTATGATAAGCTATAAAAGTTATAACGAAATGTCAAACAAAAGAACAAAGATTTGTAATGAAGATAAAACGCATTTAATGTTGTAGGTCCGAATCGCTTTGATGGCTTTACCGTCATTGAGGAACACTCATACCCAAACACTTGAAGCGAAAAATGTATAAAATATTGAATACTTAATGAAAAAATTGAAAACAACACGTTTAATAATTTCATGCGTCCGAAGCGCTTTTCTGGATTTACCTTTATCAGGAACGCTCAATGCCAAACATTTGAAATCCGAGGGATGTATAAGTACCGAAACAGTTGAAGAGCTATATAACAAAAATACCTAAAACAAATAGCCAAATTCATCTAAGGTCAACTTTGCCTGACGGAGTTGAAACCTTAGTTTCTTTATAATTTCAAAATTTATAAACGGACAATTTTAGAAAAGTTTGTTATAAATCATGTCAGTACCGAAGTACTGACTACTGAGCTGATGATACCCTCGGGGACTGATAGTCCACCAGCAGAGGTATAGACCCACTGATGTAAAAAATTGAAAACTACACGTTTAATAATTTCATGCGCTACACGTATAAGACCAAACGGAACCAAAAAAAAAGAAGATAAACTTAATTTAAGCCAATAACATTGAACGAGAAAGGACTATGGCGGTTTGCAACAAAAAATATTGAACTACAAGGTCCTGGCTTGGGACGGGCAATTAACAGAGAATGTGGTACATACGTTAATTTTGCTACCTTCCTTCTAACCTGAACAGTTGTGTAACAACACAATATAAAAATAAGGAGATGTGGTATGATTGCCAATGAGACAACTATCCACCAAAGTTCAAATGACGAAGATAAAAGCAAGTATATGTCACAGTACTGCCTTCAACAATGAGACAAAATCATTTCTTATAGTCAGCTATAAAAGGCCTATACATGAAAAATGTGAAACAATTTAAACGAGAACATTAACGGCCTAATGTATACATTACAATTTACGAAAAACAAATAGGACAGACATGAACCAACAAGTACCACTGAACTAAAGGCTCCTGACTTGGGATAGGCACATAAAGTATGTGGTGGGGTCAAACATGTTTGTTAGAGCTCAACCTTCTCCCTAACCTAGCTTGGACAGTGGTGTTACATCACAACATAAGAACAAACTGTAAAAATCAGTTGTAAATGGCTTAACTCAACAGATCGGTACGCAGCACTAACAAACCAACATAAAAACAAAGATTTAACCGTAAAAATAACGGGAAAAGGGCTAGAATCATCAGATCAGTACTATGATCAAAAACAATTTACAAAATGAAAAAAAAAATGCATATGTTCCATTTGTATACATGCATAGCTGTCAGCTTCCAGATCTAGCATTCATTGTCAGTTTTCTTAATAGATCGATGATTATAAAATATAAACCAAGTATTTCAAAGGGAAAAGTGATAAAATGCAACACATTTTTAAACGTTTTCATAACTTCCTCGATCTTGCAATTGATTATTACAAAATCCGGAGGGTCAGCGGTCAAACGTATATAAGGAAAAAATCAGATTCTTGTGAACAGAAACAAGACTTTTGAAAAAAAATATAATAAGAATTTATGCTATAAGTGAAAACGGTAAACTTTGATATAGGGAAAATTTAATGTAAAAATGATGTGCCGTTGAGACATTTAAATTTTTGTTTATTTTTCTTTTGGCTACGTAATATTCTAGTTGTATTCTCTAGCAACACTTGCAAATGAAATACTAGAACATGCAAAAGATATGTGGTATGCTTGCCAATGAGACAATTATTATAATTAATTTCATGCGACAAATTGAATATAATTCACACAAAAGTGAAAAGGAAGGTTATCAGCAGTGTAAGACACTCGAAACGATATTTAACTTCTTTCAATTCGAAACGATATTTAACTTCTTCCAGTTTGAAACATTTCCATCGTTGTTCTACTGAACACTTTAAAATACTCCTATTTTTATTGTCAATCCTCAAAATTATTTTCTCTTAAAGATTTATAAAAATTCTCTACCCTGCATTAAACGTTATACATTGCAATAACATTTTAATATATATATATATACATGTATATATATAAATTGTGTAATAATAAAATATGATAAGACCAGGGTTAAGAAAAAAAAAAAGAAAAGAAAAGGGCCTCATCGTGTCCGTTTTCTTGCTACAAAATAAAGAAGGTAAATTTATGTGCTTCTTTGTTAAATATTTTTTTGTTTTTGTTGTGATTAAGATTGTGACACGGTGTTGACTGCTGTATCCCTATTTTGACATTTTTACCTATTATGTCTGTTTGTTTTATTCACGTATCGTTGTCAATATAATGGAATTTGATGCGACTGTCATACAAGTGAGAGGTTTAGCGCTATAAAACCAGGTTCAATCCACCATTTCTACATAAGAAAATGCCTGTTCCAAGTCAGGAATATGACAGTTGTTGTCCATTCGTTTGATGTTTTTTTGTGCTTATGATTTTGCCATTTGATTAAGGACTTTCCGTTTTGAATTTTCCTCGGAGTTCTGTATTTTTGTGATTTAACTTTTATAGTAACATCTGTTTTTAAAAATGAATAATCAAATTATTATAGGCATTTCAAAACTAGCTTAATATTAGTTTTTAAGTTATTAAAGAAAAAAATCTATAAATATATTAAAATAAACTGTAAGAGATTTTCAATTGTAAATTATGTCATTTACTTTAGCTATATGAATTTTGATGAAAATTTATATATATATATATTTACAAGTCTAAATTGAAAACAACGTTGGATAAAAACCGCAATTTTTATACGTGTGCATGCAAAACAAATTTCTTGTTAGAGAGGTCTAAATACAGCACAAACAACATTTTCCAAAAGACCAAAAAAGTGAAAAAGTATATTTTAACAAAACGCATTTGACTAACAGGTCGAACAACAAATGTTCTTAAACCCTGCTGATATACATATTTGAAATTATCGCACAAGAAAATATGAAAGGAAACCTACCGAAAATCAAAATTCATATCTCAAAGAAAGGGAAGCATGACAATTGGTAAAACGAGAAAGGGAGAGATTTTCGAAAGGATAAAGTGACAGTGAACCAAATAGAAAATTATTAAAAAATCTGATACAGACAAAAAAAAAAAAAGAATGAGAAGCAAAAAAAAAAAACAAAAAAAACAAACGTTATTTAACACAATACATTGTACAGATAACTCACGAATTAGCACCAATTAAAAAACGCTGACCCCAGAGATACTCCGGAGTGATAAACAATTTTAACTGTACTAGTACCATTTTTATTACGAACGTTATTTGCAAGAACATTTTTGAGTTTAAGTTTAGATGTTCAAAAATACTTTTAAATCACGTATAATCACGTTACAATAGTTGTGTATATTTAATCAGCTTTGACTTACCTCCTAACGAGACGGCTACAAGTAAGACAATCAAACACACCATGCAACACATGACTCTATCCATAGCTGTCTTGAAGACTTCAAACTTAAATTCTGTCACTTAAGTATGCTTTGGTGGATCATTACATATTCAAAAACTTTTCTTTGATCATAAATACAATTTCCACACTTTCGCTTTATCTAATTGCAAAGTCCAAGAAATTACTTTTATCCAAACCAATTATATTAATGGTATTATCTGTAGACTAACGCAATATACTTTTGTTCTGAGGATTACCGGCTCCACGAGGGATGTCAGCTGCACGGTAAAATTCAATACATTGTATCCGTAATACGCACTTTGTTTCCGGAGTTGTTTTCTCGTTGGACAAAAAGCAATGGAATATTTAGTGTATTGGTTGTAACGTATATCATGACATTTTGTTTTCACGCTTTTTGTAATTATGTGTTGATTAAGGTACGCTCAATGCTTTAAATGTCGTAAAGGTCATTTATTGCGTGGGATATTATCCAATAAATTTAATTGATTTATATAAGTTTACTAAAGTTTTTAAAACAATGCTTTGAATTATGTTCCGATGAAAAGGTGAAACGTTCGTTTCGTATTTCTATTCATTTTTAAAAAAATTAAATGTCTAACATTAATTTGTTTTTCGTTAAATTGATGCGTCATTGTTCAGTGAATCATATTATTTATCCATCATACAATATTAAAGATTCTAATCTTACATTAGACACGTATCATTCGTCGTTTTTTTTGTTGGATGGGGTGAATAAAGTATTCCAAATTTCTTGAAAATAATTGTTTTAGAAGGGAAGTGGAAAAATAGTATGTTTCTCCTGAAAAAAAGAGAGGCGAAAGACAATAAAGGGACACTCAAACTCACAAGTCTAAAAATACAAACTGACAACGCCATGGCAAAAAATAAAAAAGGACGAAAAGACAAACAAAATTATACAAATAGGCTGAGCAACACGAACCCCACCAAAAGCCGGGGTGATCTCAAGTGCTCCAGAAAGGTACGCAGATCCTGCTCCACATGTTGCACCCGTCGTATTGCTCATGTAAGTTAAAACCCGGTGATAAGTTTAATTTAAGATAGAAAAAAAATTATAACTGAAGAAAAAAATTTTGGTTAGAGTTGTAACAAACGTGTTAATCCCGAGAGAAAAAGCCATACATTCTTTCCAAAACCCCAAAACGTCTTTTTGTGAATAATTGATTAATTGATGCCTTACATGGTGACGTTTCTATTCCTAATCACGTGATACGTACATTGTATTTTCAACTAAGTATATGTGACAGGTACAGGTATTCAATGAACACCAAAACTTGTTTGATACATGCTATATAGCTGGTAAGTGCATAAAGGACAAACGAAGAAGAAAAAAAAGAAGTTAGGTAGAAAGAAAAGATAAAATGGAGGGGCAGTAAATTTTAAAAATGTTAAGCCCTTTTCAGCTGATTTTTATAGCTTGTTCATAGGTGTGATGTTACGCCACTGTCCCATGTTAGGGGAAAATTAGGCACCCGCAAACTTGTTTAACCTCGCCACATTCTGTATGTGCCTGTCCCAAGTCAGATATCTGTAATGCAGTGGTTGTCGTTTGTTGCTGTATATTATATTTGTTTTTCGTTCATTGTTTTGTACATAAATCAGGCCGTTAGTTTTCTCGTTTTAATTGTTTTTCTCATTTCAAAACTGAGACAGAACAATAAAAAAATATTCGATCAATAGATGTCGATGGGCGTGGCTGAATCTGTTTAAAAGAAGTTTTAAAAGGAGTATGAACATTAAAACCCTTTTCTTTGGCCGAAAAAAATGAAGGTTTATTTAAAACTATTTAAAAGAGAGAGGCAGAAGATACCAGATGGACAATAACAAGTCTAAGAGAAACCGACAAGACCATAGCAAAAAACGCCGAAAAGACAAAATACAGCCTACACAACACAATATAGAAAACTAAAGATTGAACTAAAGACAGGAACTCGACAAAAATCGAGGGGTTAACTCAAGTGATCCGGAAAGGTAGATAGATCTTGCTCTTTATGTGGCAACCTTGCACATGGCATAGTGAAATGTGTAACCTTACAAAATATAGATAAATTAGACAAATTTTCAATATTTTGACGTCTAAATAACGTCAAAATATTCGCTTTTCAAATGAAATTGAAGCAAACTTAAAATTGAATGCACTTTTCCATCCAATTTTCTTTCTGTAACATCGTTTATAGCCGCCAAGGAACAACAATATAATTTTTGTAAAGCTGGAAATTTGGCATAATATACTAATTTCGTCATGGTGACCATGCAGTCATCGAATGTTTAAGACGCAGGATGAATTTCACATGAAAGTATTTCTCATCAGGGTCATTTTCATAAAGTCTTTCAATCTTTGTTTATATTAACAGTATCGCAGCTCCTTTTTTCGAACTCAACCCTACACCTTTATAGTATCAATCAGTAGAATAACAAAAACAATATAAAAGAACTTAAAGTTGTCGTTTATTGCTGTATGGCGTGTTTGTTTTTCTTTCATTATTTTGTACACTATTTGGCCGTTAGTTTTCTCGTTTTAAGTTGTTAATTTCTGTGTAATTTGGTCTCTTGTGGAGAGTTGTCTCATTGGCAATCATACCACATCTTCTTATTTTTATATTAATAATAAAAGAACATACAGTAATACAGGAACATACAGTAATAAAAGAACATATAATAATAAAAGAACATACAATAATAAAAGAACATACAATAACAATCGACAGTACTCTACGGGGGCTCGTTTTCATTCCTTTAGCCACGATGGTATTTTGTTGTTCTTGAATCGTCCTGCCTTATATGGAACAAACAAGGCGTCTTAGGCGACTAGTTAAATTCAAAGAAAATCGTGAACATGTATGTTATTTACCTTAAATATCAATGTAAATAATTTGGATACAATACAATTTTATTGAAAGAAAGAGCCTTGCCTAAGCCATCTATTCCTGTAAGGTATGGTAATATTAGGTTTGTAGTTTCAAGGAAACTTTTTAAAGCGGACATTTATTTTGACCGTGTGAAGACGCAATACTGGTTTGAAATAATATTGAATCATTATTTCACAACGTAGTTTCAGAGGAAAGCATAGAAATGTAAAACATAATCATCCTAGTCTGAAATTCTTATAAAGCTTCATTCAGCCACGAACTGTTTTGGGACCCTCACATGGAAGTTTGGTTGACTCTGTGAGTCGTATATATGTGATGATTCATGAGGGTCTAGATGAGGTTTACAGAATAGAAAATAATGGGCTAAAAGTGCAGATTAAAGGGAAAAGAAAGAAAGGAAAGAGGAAAAAAATAGACGAAAAATAAAGAGAATAATGGGACAAAAAATATAAAGAACAGAGAATAATGGTTAAAAAAATAGAAAGAAAACATGGTCTAAAATATAAAGGAATGAAAGGACCCCCCTCAAGACCCTCATTTATTTAAAAGAGATAACCGCCAAATAATTGAAATAGCTTTGTCATTGGCAACCACAACAAAATTAGAACATGATAAATTTGTTGAAGACCTGTATAAATTTGTAAAGTCAAATCACTTAGTATTATGATTTTTGTACTATTAAAACAATCGGTCACGGAGGTAATTGGAATGAATCAAATATATAGAACAGCTGTACAAACAGTTTACTCATGCAAAGCTCTGATTCCTTGCCCGGCTTTGTCTAAACTTTTGTTTGTCCTTTTTGGTTTATAGCTCTTCATCTTTTTAATAAACTTTGGATTTTCAAATATTTTGGCCTCGAGCATTACTGAAGAGACATTGATTGTCGAAATGCGCATCTGGTGCAGTAAAATTGGTACCGTTTATGTTATTACTATTTTGAAATGACGACATTTTAAACTGACAAGTTTAATTATTAACACAATAACACATCATAAAAAATATTATAACATTTCATTTATTCCATTTCAACTAAATTGATTATCATATCAGAGTAGCTGCACTAAACCTTCTTGCTTAGTGGCAACTAAGGCAGCCTTAAAAGTGTCATAACATATTGCCCGTTTCCTGGCCAGTGTTAGTAAGGAACGATTGGCCTCACGTTTGTTTAGTTTGACTTGGTGATGTAAATCATCGAAGTCTTGTATTGTAATTTGACCATTTTGGTAAAGATGATCACAAAGGTCGGGTATCTCAAGGTCATGTACGAACCGAACGAAATGTCTCTGGATTGTGCTACTTAATTTTGAAGTTTCTGATGACGAGCTATTAGGTGTGTTTGTTATAGTCAGATTTTCATCTTGTGTTTGCGTTTCTTGATTTTTAAATGTTGACTTTTCACTTTGGTTTTCGATTTCTAGATTTAGTTTTAAGTTCTCATATTTTAATTTTTCGTTTTCAGTTTCTAACTTTTCTATCATTGTTTTAAGTTCTGTATTTTGTCTCGCCATCCTATTGTTAAATTCCAAATCTTGTTTGTCACGGGGTATCTTATTACATAAATGGTTTGAATCGCTTGTGGTAGTATTCACAAGTTGTCTATTTGAACACATCGGTATGTTGAAAGCGGTTCCTCTGGAAGTTGAGCATGCGTTCCTAACCAGAGGTTGTTTTATCTCATCTTCTATTCCGTTTTTACTTGCTGAAAAATCACAACTGCTGGCAAAATTGTCATCTGTTGTCAAAAAAGATTTTTTACTTAGATTGTAATTCTCATGTTCCTGTTTGTCTCCATTTTTTTTATTGCAGTGCAAATCGTTTAAGATTCCCAGAACTTTTGGTTTTGTTTGTTCATCAAAGTGGAAATTGAAACCATTTTCAGAGTGATTATGCAAACATTTTGTATCCACATCATCTATAACTTTGGTTTTAGTTTCGCAGTCACCATTATTTGAAGTAGTTTCATTACTTTTGGAAAACTTTAGTCCCGTGTTGGAATCAAACAACGAGGTTTGATTTATATTTAGAGTTTCATTTAATGATATTGGTGATGTTTTCGCTACAAGGTCTAATGGCGACGTAATCGCTGCAGGGTCTTTTGGCGACGTTATCGCTGCAGGGTCTATTGGTGACATTGTCGCTGCAAGTTTAATTGGTGAAGTTGTCGCCGATGAAGCATAGTCGTAGGCTGGATAACGTGCTACCTTAAGCAACTTTACCCTAACACGGAACAGTTCAAATACGCAAATAACTCCGTTCGCCTTTTCGTAATTCGGAATTTCAAAGTTTCCGCTTTCTCCAGATTCAGATGAAAAACTGAAAGATCCTGACTCGGACAGACTTATTTGTAGATTACCTTGACTTTTACTTTTTTCGAGGACAAAAATCGGTTCCCATACATTATTCCGTTTTTTATCAGTAACTTTCAACAATCTAGAGAAATTGTCATTAAACGACTTCGATTTTTCTTCATAAAAGCCAAATTTTATGTAGTATCGGCTGGGTACGGAAAATGTTTTGATCTTATTCGGGTCTGTTACCGGGTTTATACGCACCGTAATGGCTTCTCCGTTATACAAATGCCTGTCTATATAACATATAGCTGCTGGATTTTCATCTATTAACGAAGCCTTTTTATCTTTCTCTGTCAGCTTGATATTTTCACCACTGTATTGCAGAAACTTTGCATTTGAAGACACTGCAATAAAAAGAATAATTGATTTATGGCTAATTAAGGTCCAGTAAGAAACAATATTACATGTATATATACTATCCGATTAAGTTATGTGACGTGAATATGCCCTGCTCTGTACTAGACCGATACGCTGAGTCGGCTCTGTTATGCTATAACACAAGGGAAAAGTCCACAGGAAGACATATCACCATACACATATTCTTAAACGTAATACCTGGCGAAGAAGTAGTAGCAAATACCAATTTTAAAGTCCTTTTATTCAAATATACGTTACAATTTACATATACCTACTTAGATAAACAGATGCTGAACCAAATTGTATATAAACAGCAAGCCATGCGATACCATTTTCAAGAGGAAAACGAACGTTTGAATTGTCTTCATTGTCGAGAACAACTTCTCGCCCATTATTGGAAATTTTGATGGATATAGTAAAAGTTGACTTATGGACTCGGATATCATTCGTAATTTTCATCTGTTGAAAAACATCTCTGATATTGATCTCATTCGGATTCTTTTCCAAGAACCCAAGAGAAATATGACTGCTTCCATTTATTATAATCTGTAGTGGATCTCTTCCAATTGGCCGTTCAGAAAAGCAAAGTCCTCCAGAATAAACAGACTTCCATTCTGCTTCACCGTTCTTAATGACAGTATTTTCTCCACAGTGGCTAGAAAAATGAAGCGACATCTGGAAAATGAAAAAAAAAAACAAACATCAAGAAGACCTGATTTATAATTGTTCATAAATTCGTTACGGACGGATGGTCTGTTGCACAAACAGACGGACAAAGCTAAACCAGAATACCCCCTCATTTGGACCAGGGTTGTAACATAGAAAAGACCTTTCATCCGACACAACGCCAAATCCATACAAAATTTGAATGATTTCATCGGAGAGGCCTGGAGACATCGTGAACAAAAATAAACTTAAATAGCAGGGACAACCGCTGACATACATACGTTCTATAAATAACCAATAATTATAACTTCGCTCCACAGCTTCTTAATATCTGGCTCAAAGCTTCGACGAATTTTGCCATACCTGGCGACCAGACTCAAGCTAGCGAACAATAAGCCAGCGAACAATAAGATGCATCAAGCTAGCGAACAATAAGCCAGCGAACAATAAGATGCATCAAGCTAGCGAACAATAAGCCAGCGAACAATAAGAAAACGCGCCAACATGATCATGACTAAAAACCGAAGACTTGCAATAACACGAAACGTACTTATAAATCTGATGACAATAATTTCCAGTAGGAAGATGAAATGCAATTCCATTTTAACACAGACAAAGTTAATTAGTTATTCGTGTATTTAATACAACTTTATTTTAAAGCCTAAAATTCCTTTTAGGTAATCCTTTCTCTTTTTTCTCTGATTAGAGATGGTTTGTTGTCTTTATAATAATGAAACAATTAATAACAACAGTTCACACTCAACTAGTGTAGCGATACAATTAAATCTTCAAGCTTATATATACGATTGAAAAGAAAAGAACAAAAAATGTTAGATTTTCTGTAGAAATAAAAGCTGATAACCATCGTCAAAGAACTAGCTAGTTCATTTTTTTCTAATTATTTAAAGAAAATAGTCACTCTGGTCATTTATTTATCATATTTCAATTAGAAGAGTGATAAGTGTAAGAGTAACACACAAAAAGAACGAAAAACGAGCTGACATAAAGATTTTGGTTAATCTAAACGACAATTTATTTGAATCCAAACCTATGTCTAATAACTATAATCCGTAAAAACTTCCCTACGGCAAAGCTTTTGTCCCAACTAGGTACAAATGATAGGCAATTGCCAAAGGTTGCCTAGACCCAAAGACCCAGGTGGGAAAAGTTACGGAATTTTTTTTAATTGAGGTCCAAAGTTGGGGTATGGTAACCCTACCACCTCTCAAATTTAATTCATAAAAAAGTCCCTACGGCAAAGCTTTTGTCCACACTAGGTACAAATGATAGGCAATTACCTGAAGTTGCCTGGACCCAAAGACCCAGGTGGGTAAAGTTACGGAAATTTTTTAATTGAGGTCCAAAGTTGGGGTAAGGTGACCCTATCATCTCCCTTCTTTAATTCATAAAAAATCCCTTTGGCAAAGCTTCTGTCCACACTAGGTACAAATGATAGGCAATTGCCTAAGGTTGCCTGGATTAAAAGACATAGGTGGGTAAAGTTACGGAATTTCCACAACTGAGGTCAAAAGATGGGGTATGGTGACCCAACCCCCTCCTATTTTAATTCGTAAAATACTTTACGGCAAAGCTTTTGTCCACACTAGATACAAATGATAGACAATTACCTAAAGTTGCCTGGACCCAAAGACCCAGGTAGGTAAAGTTACGGAACATTTTTAATTGAGGTCCAAAGTTAGGGTAGGGTGACCTGACCCTACCACCTCCCTTCTTTAATTCATAAAAAAATCCCTACGGCAAAGATTTTGTCCACACTAGGTACAAACGATTGACAATTGCCTAAGGTTGCCTGGACTAAAAGTCATAGGTGGGTAAAGTTACGGAATTTCCACAACTGAGGTCAAAGGATGGGGTATGGTGACCCAACCCCCTCCTACTTTAATTCGTAAAAAAGTCCCTTCGGCAAAGCTTTTGTCCACACTAGGTACAACTGGTAGTGTTTGCTTGGACTGAAAGACCCGGGTGGATAAAGTTACCAAAGTTAAGGTACGGTGGCCCAACCCCCTCCCTTCTTTAATTCATAAAAAATGTCCTTACGGCAAACTTTTGTCCACACTAGGTGCAAATGATAAGCAACTGCTTAAGGTTGCCTGGACTTAAAGACCCAGGTGGGTAGAATTACGGAATTTCCGCAACTCAGGTCAAAATTTGGGGTGTGGTAACCCTACCCCTCTCCTACTTTAATTCGTAAAAAAGTCCCTACGGCAAAGCTTTTGTCCAATCTAAGTACAAATGATAGGCAATATGTTGCCTGGACGACTAAAGGACCCAGGTGGGTAACGTTACGGAACTCCTATAAATGAGGTCCAAAATTTAAGTATGGAGACCCTTTGGCTACTCCTACAAATTTCAATTCGTGTAAAAATTTCCATCGGGCAAAGTTTTTCGCCCACATTAATTACAACTGATTGATCATAGACTAAGGTTGCCCACACCCAAAGACCAAGATGGGTAAAGTTACGGTACCTTAACAACTTAGGTCCAAGGTTTGTAGACCATATCTCCTAACTTTAATTCGTAAAAAAAATCACAGCAAAGCTTTCGTCCACTCTGCTAACAAATGATGGGCAATTGCAGACGGATGCCTGGACCTACAGAACCTGCAGGTGGGCGAAATTCCAGAACTTCTACAACTGTTTTTATATTTGGGGTTTGCACACCCTTTCACATCCCTATTTTAATTTCAATGTCAAAAAATCATAACGGCTAAGATTTGTTCTACACTAGGAACAAATGAAATAGGCAATTCCCTATTTGTTGCCTGGAACAGATGCTCCGGTTGGATAAATTCTCGGAACGTTTGCAACTGAGGTCCAAAGTTGGGATATAGAGACCTTTTCCCCTCAAAAACGTTAATTCGTAAAAAAAAAATCTCTACGCGGCAAAGAATGACCACACCAGGTACAGATGAAATTGAATGGCATAAAATTGCCTGGATAAGATGACCAAGGTGAGTTTAATTCACGGAACTACTGCAACTGAGGTTCAAAGTCGGGGTAAGGAGATCCTTCCGTCCAAACTTTAATTGTTAGAAAATTTCCTACGACGAAGATCATGATAGGTAAGGCATTGAAGTTGCCCGAACCAGATAGCAGAGGACAGTCAATTCACCGAGTTTCTTCAGCTGACTTGCAAAATTAAGGTATGGAGACCCCTACCCTCCTAATTTTAATCCTTTAAACCGGGCATGGATGCCCCTACTGCTTTGTTTTTGTTGTTCACATTTTTCCACGATATAAAAAAAATATATCACATGAAACTACAGTACCATACTAGAAAAAGACCAAATTATTATTATCAGCTTCTTTAGCAACATGTTTTTCAATAACTAGAATACTTAGTCAAACCAAGACGCTCGGTTATAAGTCCAGCTTAATAGACAGTTCTAGTTTTAACTTGAAATATTGTGTAATATTAAACACGCATTAACTATTATATCTAACCTGGACTAAAGGGTCAGTGTCGGCTTTTTAGAATATTTAACGTCTGTCGTTTGCAGTACGTAGTCGTCCGCCGTCATCATCCGTTTACTTTTACAAAAGATTTTCCTCATTATAAAGATCTACTTATTTGATATTGTCGTCAGTTGACTATTTATATTTTGTTGGTTTGTGCAGATAAATTTCTATGTTTTGTTAAATCTTGAGTGTAAACAGCATTCCCTGTTATTTTATCAACAGTTACTTTTCAAGTAGGAGTTATGTATTGTGTGAAATGGCTTTCCGTACTTTCGGCATCCAAATAGTTCCTAAAATAACATTTTTTGTAAAATAACTTAATAGACAATTTCAAATGATTACCCTTCAAGACAAATGTGTTTGTGTCAATAAATTTCTTTTTGAAAAAGCAGATTTCATTCTTCTTTTTGTTAAAGGCTAGCGAACTATATTATGTATCAATGTAGGGTGCGCAACTTTTTAATGAATTAAAGAAGGAAGGGGGTTGGATCACCATATCCCAATTTTGGACCTCAATTAAAAAAATTCTGTAACTTTACCCACCTGGGTCTTTGGGTCCAGGCAAGCTTAGGCAATTGCCTATCAAATGTACCTAGTGTGGGCAAAAGCTTTGCCGTAGGGACTTTTTTATGAATTAAAGAAGGAAGGAGGTTGGGTCACCAAATCCCAACTTTGGACCTCAATTAAAAAAATTCCGTAACTTTACCTACCTGGGTCTTTGGGTCCAGGCAAGCTTAGGCAATTGCCTATCAAATGTACCTAGTGTGGGCAAAAGCTTTGCCGTGGGGACTTTTTTATGAATTAAAGAAGGAAGGAGGTTGGGTCACCAAATCCCAACTTTGGACCTCAATTAAAAAAATTCCGTAACTTTACCTACCTGGGTCTTTGGGTCCAGGCAAGCTTAGGCAATTGCCTATCAAATGTACCTAGTGTGGGCAAAAGCTTTGCCGTGGGGACTTTTTTATGAATTAAAGAAGGAAGGGGGTTGGGTCACCATATCCCAACTTTGGACCTCAACTAAAAAAATTCCGTAACTTTACCCACCTGGGTCTTTGGGTCCAGGCAAGCTGAAGCAATTGTCTATCAAATGTTCCTAGTATGGGCAGAAGCTTCGCCGTAGGGATTTTTTTATGAATTAAAGAAGGAAGGGGGTTGGGTCACCATATCCCAACTTTGGACCTCAATTAAAAAAATTCCGTAACTTTACCAACCTCAGTCTTTGGGTCCAGGCAAGCTTAGGCAATTGCCTATCAAGTGTACTTAGAGTGGGCAAAAGCTTTGTCGTAGGGAAGTTTTTACAGATTATAGTTTGGAGGGGGTTGGGTCCAGATTTCACATCGTCTTGGATTCAAAAAAAAATTTGTCGTGTATATTAACTAAAATCTTTTTGTCAATTCGTTTTTTGTTCTATTTGTGTGCCACTCTTACACTCATCACTCTTCCTATCGAAATATAATAGATGAATTATCAGTGTAACGACATGCTTTTGAATAAAGAGAAAAATGCACTAGTTCTTTGAGAAAAGAAGAAAATTGCGTATAATGGTGATCAGCTTTTATTTTTTACAGAAAACTAACAAAAAATACTTGACGTTCTATAATCAGTCGGTTTTTTTTTCCTTTTCTTTTCAAACGCATATATAAGGCAGAAGATTTAATTGTATCGTTACACTAGTTTGGTATGAACTTTTGTTATTAATTGTTTCATTATTATACCAAAAAGAGAAAGGATTAGCTAAAAGGAATATAAGATACCCGGCTTAAACAAAAATTGTATTAAATACACGAATAACAAATTAACTTTGTCTGTTTAAAAATGGAATTGCATTTCGTCTTCCTACTGGAAATTATTGTCATCAGATTTAAAAGGCCGTTTCATGTTATTGCAAGTCTTCGGTTTTGATGCATGATCATGTTGTCGCGTTTTCTTATTGTTCGCTAGCTTGATGCATCTTATTGTTCGCTGGCTTATTGTTCGCTAGCTTGAGTCTGGTTACCTGGCGACACATTTTTAGTTCCTTCCATGTGCTATTTACAGAAAAGTAATGTCTTGAACATAAAAAAACTATTAGTCATACCTTTTTGAAATATGAAAGGGGGTAAGTCACAGTCACATTAATCATTTACTGCGAGACTTATATTTTCAATCGGTTGTGGGTATACGAAATAATTACGGTTGGCATACTTGGGGAGGCCTGCTACGAATGATTCCGACAATAAGTTAGATTTACGGCATAACAAGTTTTAGTGGGGTAGATAACCGAGAAATCGAAATATAACGGAAGTTCTCGACAGGGGTACATTTTTCAAAAATGCGAATTAAGTACCTTGTGTTATATTAAGGTATATATAGAGGGGGAAATTCAGAGACAAGTGTCTGTGATATAAGTGCACAAACGTACATCTTGTTTAATAAAAGGATCAAATTAGTTTATTTTTCTAAAGTTGAATACCAAATTATCAATCGTCCTGAACATGTATGAAATATTTTCTACTGAACATGAAACAAGCAACAATCAATCAATCAATCCAAATGATAAAAAGTAGCAACAGATTATTAATAAGCTGCTATGTATATTAAACTTAGAGAATCCAACAAGATGTAATAACTACCAAAACTTCGGAAAATCGAAAAGATTTTAATTTCCATGTATTTAGAGATCGCGGTATTTAACATATTTTTGCATTACCAATTTAATGTGCTTTATAAAAATACCAGTGACCAGTTTTAAGACGCACTGTGACTCTTGGTTAGTTTAACAAACATGGGGATGTATAAATACCCTAGCTTTGTATCGATCTGCTGAGTTAAGCCCTTTCAACTGATATTTATAGTTTGTTCTTACGTTGAACTGTTACACCACTGTCCCAGGTTAGGTGAGGGTTTGGCACCAACAAACTAGTTCAACCCCACCACATTCTGTATATGTGCCTGTCCCAAGTCAGGAGCCTGTAATTCAGTGGTTGTCGTTTGTTGATGTATATCATATTTGTTTTTAGTTCATTGTGTTGTACATTAATCAGGCAGTTAGCTTTCTCGTTTGAATTGTTTTACATTTGTCTTTTCCAGACCTTTTATAGCTGACTATGCGGTATGGGTTATGCTCATTGTTGAAGGCCGTACGGTGACCTATAGTTGTAAACTTCTATGTCATTTGGTCCTTGGTGGAGAGTTGTCTTCTTGGCATTCATACCACATCTTCTTATTTTCACACGTAGCTCTTTAATATCTTCCTGTAATACCGTTAATAGCCGTATCATCAAATGAAAATTCACGGCAAAGGTTTTAAAGTGTCTGCGTTTTGATCATTGATGAAGGTCGTACAGTACCTTATATGTGCTTACATTTAAATCATTCGCCTTTGGTCTCTGGTGGAAAGATATCTCATTGGCAATCATACAATATACGGAGTGTCTATTGTTCTGGCTAGCCGGAAGAATAATTAAAAATCTCTACTTTTCCGGCCATCCGTTTGCGCATGCCCAAATGTTCAATATCAACGGCTTTGTCATGTGGCGCGGAAAGTGTCCCGAATGAGGTCTAGGATTGCAAACGCGCGTATGCAATGGACTTTTTGAGAATCGGGAGATCGTAATTTATTTTTAAAGATGTCCTAAAGAAAATTATAGAGAATGTGATTGCTTTAAAACAAATTTCTATAGGACAGACTCCAGAACAATAGCGTGTGCACGTAAACTGAGAGGGATAAAGCGTGCAATCAAACTGAAATTTCTGACGTACCCATTACAGCTTACCTGTATTAATGGAGGCAAAATGCATAACAATAATTCACAGGAAAACGACTAAATCAAATATACTTGGATACATTATTTCTAAGTTTTACAACAACGGAGATCTATGAACATGCACTGATAAGCCTTGACTTTTGTTTTTTATTTAATTCGGTTTTATTGATTTTTTTCAATAAAAAAAAAATTTATTTTTGCTATCATAAACACAATCTTACTTAGGGGCAGTTTACTTGTGCCGACCCTTTTCTCTTATTTTCTGTATGTTAAAAACCGAACATTTTAAATAAAAATGTGCAAAATCATTTGACTTCATTGGAACCAAACTTCAAGGAAATAATAAAATCAGGATCTTTCTTTAGAATTCATAGAAGCCATACATCAGTGAACCGACTTCTAACTATGCAGAATATTCATAGGTAGAACATAAAAAGAGGGCGGAGGCATTTTTGAACCCCCATTCCCTCAGAATAAAAAAAAATCTGAATATGCTGTATACTATAAAGTAAATTTATTAATGAATGTTTCCACTCTTTTGCACAATTTTTTGTCAAGTGATTCAGAAGCTGCATATCAATCGATGTTGATATTTTTCTTTTGATTTCATTTGACAAGCTGTTTATATTTACGGGGAATCGGCGTGTTCCATAGAACAGCCAGTAGAAAATAAATCAAATTTAGTATTTGAGGAGTTTATTCCCATGATAATTCTGTTTTTATAATTTTTTTTTATCACTTCTATTTTCCAGAACGTTTTATTTTGAGTTTATCATGAATCAGAAACGTCCTCGTGAAGAACGTGTAAAAAATGAATAGTTCTAATTCTCATGAATCAGTGTTTGCAAGGGAGGACATCAAGTTTTTTGCCACTACATTCTCCATTGGAAGCTACAATAACCACATAAGCAAAACCTGTATTCATTATTCATTTTTATGTATGGCCGGAATAATAGCAGGATAGCAGAGAAAAGCTATTCTTCCGGATGGCCATAAGAGCCTTTACAATCTTGCATTCAACTTCGGCGTATTACACTTGAACTAAAAATCGAGAAAACAATGCATTTATATCTTGTTTTCTTAAACAGGTGTTAAATATAAGTGCATTAAATGTCTAAACATAGTCGCATTTGTAAAGAATATACGGGAAGTCGCATAAAAAACTGCATAAACAATCATTAATCTAAAGTCTACATATTGTTCTTAAACATAAACCTGTTATTGTTTGTGATTTGAAATAATTATAAAGGTGTTTTGTGCACTTTGGCAAGAAACTAAATGTGGCCATGCAGGGATCTTTAACTACTCATTAAATAACCAGTACACTGTTCCAAACATCATCTATGTACACATATACCTGATTGGTGCATTTTAAACACATTTCAAAAGCTGAAAAATAAGCTAAATGCTGACCTCTTTTTGGAGTTGTTTGTCTCTGGGTTGCTATCTTATTGACGTATAGCCCACTTGTCTACATTTTTAATTTTGTTTTAACATGCTCTCACTATCTTCATTACATATAGTATGTATAACTTCATTAAGGATTCTTAAAATCACATAACTAATTTTCATGCATGAAATTGATGTTACATGTACTTAATATCTAATTTTTCTGTATAAAATATGCAGTTTTTGAACTTTTTACACAAAAAATCATAAACTTCATTTACCAACGATAAGATAAAAATCACAACTATTTCTCCTTCAATTAGTCAAATTCACATATTACAGTTATCCGGTGAAGCGACAGAAATTAAATGAATGTAGCGTATCATGTTTCTTACACTGTCGACGGAGGGTTTCAAGTTTGGATTATCTCCCATTCACCAAAAGAAATCTATTCAAAATATAAAAATGTAAAATAAATAACACATGCATTATGAGCATATATGATATGTTCGATACCAAAGAAGTATAACTTATGTCGCTTATCTGACTGCCTCTAAAATTTATATCAACCGCTATAATAAAGCGACAATGAGCAACTTTTAAAAGAGGGACCATTGAAATATACCCCATGAGAGAAAAAAAACTTAATACCTCAGTTTTCCTTTTCTCTGTTAAACGATTTCTGAATTACAAGTTAAGGTAACGGGGTAGGGGGTTCGACTGGACTCGCAGGTTAAAACGGGGTTGTCACGAAAACTGCGTTTCACTGCTTGTGATAAGTGTATACTCCTTTCGTAAAATCCTCTATTAGACTATACCCGGAACATAAAAAGCGATATATAATTTAAGCAGATTATCAATAATACTTAACCTTATTTATCAATGTTGACAGTGACCTCTATATATTCCCTGAAGCTCTTTATAGCTTAACTTCGAAAACAAAAGTTGGGGAATTTCACATTCGGGTAGTTTCCGGTCGATGTGTTTTCGACCTATCTATTTACAATATCACGTTTACCTGCGTGAGTCATTTGTACATAGCAGTATGTTATTTGTGAAATATTGATAATATAATTTAGCTTTCTTTTAAAGCTTAGATGTTCTGATGATGAACGAGATATATAATATAACAATAAAAAACTAAATAATATTATCCTGTCAAAGAAGTATAAAAAAAAGGAAAAATAACAAAAGATTAATGGTCGCTCCTTAATTCAGAAAAGCATATGTATTTAATGTTTTACAATAATAGATTTTATAATGCAAAGTACTTTGACTTCCTGTACTGTTTTTTTATTTTATTATATATGTTCATGACATTTTCAGGGGCATGGATAGGGTTTACAGAATAGAGTAATGGGCAAACAAATGATAAATAAAGGGAAAACAAATTTAAAAAAAGGGAAAATTGGACAAAAAAAAAAGAATAGACAATAATGAGTTTCTTAAAATATAAAGAATAGAGGATAATGGGTAACATAAATAAGTATAGAGAAAGATGGTCTTTAAATGAAAGAAAAAAGAGGAGGGACCCCCGTCCAGACCCTCATTTTAATATTGTGTTGTTTTGACTTTAAAATTAATCATTCAACTACTCTCTATTTTGAAAATGTAAGGAGAAAATTATTTTGGTTAATTACAATGGGCCTTTGTAACCTAAGCTTTCACTTGAAAGGGTTAAAAATCCATCGCTATTATGAAATATACTTGGACGCTAAATTGTCCGATTATTTTTCGCTAAAATATATCCTACCAATTTGCTATACTAGTAATGTCCTTCGCTGGTACATTCAAAGTTGTCATTTGTTTTACATGTGTATTTCATATTTTAGATTTCAGTTTTCATGTTCTTTTCTTAATTTTGTGTTTGTTTTTGTATTTTTATTTAACATTCGGGTAATTATTACAAAGAATACAATGCAAATTTCTAGGTCGTGAAAAAAATTCTTAGACGTTTAGCAAACAATAATCAATCAATCAAGCACATTTCATCTTTCATCTGCCATCACGACATTAGTATGTCAGATATATCTGTGATAATCATGATATATGTTTCTTTCAGCCTTCAAACTCATGCGTTTAAATCAAATTACTAATACTGCTAGAACTAACTTATTTAGAGGTCTTCCTCCTTTAATTTGATTTGATTGAAGGACAGTCTTTATTTAACGAATCTAGATTAATCTTCAGTATCCAAAGGCACTCTTTCACGGAATATATAATACAGTACAAATTGGAATTCAGTTGTATTTAGAATCCTCCTAGTACCAATCGGAATTCCAATATCTACGAATAAAAATTGGAATTCTGGGGCCGTTTCAACTAAGCTGTCTAAGGACTAGGACGTGTCTTAGGATGGTTTTAGGACACGTCTTAGTCCTTAGACAGGTAAACGAAAGTCTCCTAAGATAAGATATGTCATAAATTTTGTCCATTAGTTAGGATATATACATAGGTCTCTTAGGATGGTCTTAGGATAGTCCTAAAAGTTACGATGTCCTAAGTCGAAATAAAAACAACAAATATGGCGGCTGTGTGTGTTCATGTAAGACGACGAGCAAATATCATTCGCCCAAAATTCCATTTATTTAGACTATTAGGACGATGTTAATATTGTTCGCAAATATAGACCTTCTAGACCAATGGTTCTAGAACTTTGTAAAAAGTTTCAAAACGAACTCGCTAGGCCGCCTAAAAGATCCCATGCCATTCCTGCCACATGTCAAATAATGGTGGCTGTAAGGTTTTATACGACCATGAACTCCCAACTGCTAAATGCAGACGTCCACCGTATATACCAAAGGCAAGTGTTTCTTATATTACACGTGAAGTCTCACAATGTTTAAAGAAGGTTTGCAATCAATATATGAGCTGCGTCGGATAGAAATCGACCTAATGAAAATGGGATATCAAGACATGTCTCAAATATACATGTAGAAAACGACACAATAAGGTCTTCAATAAGAGGAAAATGACTACAATACAAATTTTCACAATTCTAGAGTAAAAAAATCACGGGTCATTTATATCAAATTTCCTAATTTCCGTAAAATAGTTTTTAAAAAAGCATAAAAACTACTGACGAGGGTTCTGTCTTTGGACACATAAAACTTTATGCTTGTGTATTTAATTTCAAGCTTGGTGTCTTTTGGGTTTTTTTAACACTCGTCCCTCGATCAGTGGAATACCAAAACGTATAAAAAAAACGTCCAATACAAATAGGTTAATAAATAGATCTTAACTTTAATATACATTACCGTTAAATTATACAAAAAAAAACCAAGATGATGATGGATGACTGTTTAATGTCCCGTGGCAAATTAAATGCAAATTCAGAAAGGTAATATTTAAATGTGATATTAATATAACCCCTAATTTGTACTTTATCTATTTTTAAAGTGCTAGTTCAAAATGTAACAAGGCGCAGGAAGGCATGTCACCCTATATCCGGACACATTATTCGGACATTCCGGCCATCCCGTCTTAGTTCTTACACCTCAACGCCGTGTGCTTAGAGGAGACACAAAACTACCATTTTTTATGCTTTGGTTTGACTGGTCTGTCGAGGATCCAACTCACAATTACCCGCACACGAGCCGAGCACGCTACCACGAAACTACCGAGGCTATTTTACAAGAAAACAAATGCAGGTACAATCAAAATTTTAAAAAAAATAATTAAATTGGAACGCACAAAACCTCTATATTTCTTGTATTTCTGATCGAGATTCAGAAGGGAAAATTGAGGATGTGTAGAATAACTTTAATCCAGCCATAAACATTTATTAATTTGCTATTTCAAAGTCAATTCTGCGTCAGGGATAGTCCTTGAAAAGATTTTTCGTGTTTTTATCAAAAAAGAAATTTGGTGTGGTGATAATTCATAACTTCTCTTTATATTATAGGACGATTTAAAGCAATTGACCCTTGTCTGATTAATACTATAGTTTGACCAGAAAGTGTCCTTATTGGTTTTATTGTGTTGTTGCCTTGCTTTCTTCCATACATTGGGCCTCACTTGCCGACTGGTCAAAATAAGTAGTTCAAATACAATGATCGCTAGCCTCTCGACGATACTGAAAGTTGCTCTAAACACCGCCTACTTATCAAACTTTTTATAGCTCTGTTCATTCATGTTGATTCTTTTTTTATTCCGAATTTATTTGGAGTTATCGCTCTTTTACCAACACAATTATTTGATCAATATTTAAAGGTGTTCCACTCTATCATGTTTATATGATTATGATCTATCCACAGATTTAACTGTAGAAATCTATCATGTGGAGACAATTAGTGAACATTTAACATAATTGTTTGTGAAAACTATTGTTTCCATGCGGTTTCTTTTTTTGTTTTTAGGCTCTTGTTATGTTTTTCAATGCTTTGATTTATTTTATATTTCAGTTCTTTTTGCCCATTATTCTCTCTTTTGTAAATTCCATCCAGACACTCATTCAAAATTACTTGACTTTCAAGTTTTCTAAATGAAGAATTTAGTTGAGAAAATGTGCAATATTTTACGTTATTCAAAATAATATTGCGAAAGGGAATTATTGCCTTTCATCAACCATCTTTACACGCAAACCTACTTAGGAATTTAGTTGAGAAAATGTGCAATATTTTACGTTATTCAAAATAATATTGCGAAAGGGAATTATTGCCTTTCATCAACCATCTTTACACGCAAACCTACTTCGGAATATGAAATGATCAATAATTTATTATTACTGAGTCCACTTCACCTTCGGTCATTTCCAGAATGAGAAGCATTTCCTCGACTCGGCACTGGAATATATGTATTACCTTTATTACATTAAGTTCATAAGTCAACCCCTCTTAACACGTACTGTAATATTTCAAATGTTGCCTGTCACTACTGTCCTAGGTCCACAATGCCAATTTGGGTTCCCCGAAAATAGAAACTTGGAACCAAGTCATTTTAATTTATTTAAAGTCACCACGTAAATAATTTAACATGTACCTTTAGGATATTTGATAAAAAAATATATAACCGAGATACGTCTTTTGCTCCGAAAGTTTGCAACCATAATATAAATGTTAGTTTGACATTTGTAAGAGAATGAACGTGTCACGTTGTATGATGTCGTTTTGAAAAAAAATGATTTTCTAATCAGTTAAATGCATATCCTGTGATTTTCCATCTAAACGATAGTAAATGATAAATCCAACAGAACGACTATCATAGTTGGTCATGGAGAAACTATCCTCAGGTTTTGTTTTGGTCGTTTTGTCAATATGTCGGGTTGTCTGTTTCGATAACACAACTTACTATGATGTATATCTAGAACAGAACAAAGATTTCATGCGTGACTTTAGTATATCTTCTGAACCAAGTGTAGCAATGTTTCCTGTGGTGAAAAGCGGTGAGTATTAAATCAGATATAAATGGAAATTATTCTTTAATTGGTTTTGTCTGGTCTACATGTAGTTTGGTTTTGTGAGCATAAAAAACCCAGCTAAGTGTGAAAATTATAGTTTTATTTGTTTTGTCTGGTCTATATGCAGTTTGTGATCTGAATGTTTAAAATAATAAAGATTGTCTTGTGGGGAAAGGTTGTAATGTTACTGTGAAATCGTATTGATTGGTTTTTATCTGGTCTACATGTAGTTTATTTTCTGAATATTTGAAATAATAAATGTTGTCTTTTATAAAAAATATTTGTAATGTTACTATGCAGTTTATTTAATTTAAAAGGTTTGAATGTTCTGTAAGAGTTTCGGCAGAATTTTAAGAAACATTTAAACGCAATATAAAGCTCCGTATGCAAGTCCACCATTTACTCTTTTTATTTGTTTTATAAAAAAAGTAATGTTATGGATAACTGAGGATCTGGATGGGGTTTACAGAAAAGATAATAATGGGCCAAAAAGTGCAGAATACAAGAAAAAAATATATTAAATCGAGAAAAATAGGCCAAAAAAAAAGGATAGAGAAAAATGGGGTGCTAAAATATAAAGAATAGAGAATAACGGACAAAGTTTAAAA